TTTTTTTTTAAATTTCCTTTTTGGTTAACACGTTGAAATTGTGAGTATTGCCATGTTTCTAAGAGGCTCATACATATGCGGATCCTTGAGGCTGTTAAATGCATTTGAAGTATGCGGTGAGAAGTTGGTGAGGGTAATGCGTTTAGTGCAGGCCACTCACAGAGCTGTACTGTCTGTGGATTGATTACACAGTGTTCCTGCGCCACGTCTTGCTTGTCAGCCCTTGATCTTAGGGAGCAGCCGCTCACCTTGCCTGCCAGCCTCTGTTTTCTAGGAAGGGAGCAGGTTTGGGTTCTCATGGGAATCCAAGCAATGACAGACGCAGAGTGGCATACTTGTCCTCCTGACTGGAAGTGCTCGGTGATTGAGGCTGGTTCCCCCATTAGCAAGCCTCGCAGTGAGCTGGCCTCACTGTCCACTTAGCTGCTGTCTGAAGCGTCTCGGGCGGCTCTAACAAATGACCCCCACAGTGGACGTTTCTAAAGAGCAGAAGTGTCTCCCTGCACAGGTCTGGAGGATGGAAGTTCACATTTGGGCCTTGGCCACATTGATTTCCTGTTCCCTGCCTCTCTCCTGCTTTCGGGGGGGGGGGGGGCTGCTGGAATCTCCCAGGCTGTCACTGTCCGTGTGGGATCCTGCAGCCCTCTCTGCGCATCTCTTTTCTAGAACACAACTTGTAAGGGATTCACATTTGGGTCCACTTCCTAAGTTAATGGGGCCCGCCCCAAAAGAGTAAGCCCATCCCCTGGTACAGGGGTCAGGGTTTCAGCCCCTGTGTTCAGTCCCATGCAGCTGTCACCAGCTGCCCCTCGTCTTGATACCCCTTCTCTCCCTGCCTCCCAGGCTCCCTTCTGATGCTTGCATGCTGCCACTCTCCATCACGGCTCTGCTGTGCTTCTCCTCCGGGTCTCATTTCTCGGTTTATCTTTGTTTCTTCTCCACCTTCTCTACAAATGGGCAGCTGACCTTGCTTCTGTGCCAGAGCAGCCGATAGGAGAGCCGTGAAGACGGCATCCCACAGCACAGGCCCGAGTTCCCCGGAAGCCCCAACCTCGAGGGCTCGGTTGAGCCCGCCCTCGTGGTTCATTATCTGCGTGTTCAGCTCACTGTGACTCCTCTTCAGGCCAGACTAGAGGACGGATGGGTCCTGTGACTCACGCAGGACCACAGGGCCACCCTGCTGTCTAGCTGGGAGCCGAGCAGTGACGCTGGGATGTGAGGTGTGAGTAGGGGTGAGCGGCGTGGGATCACGAGGGGGCATCCGGGAAGAAGATGCCAAGCAGAGTGACGAGGGAGCGAGTGGGTAATTGAGGGCTCTGAGAGGGAGCCAGGGGGTGGCGGTAGGAGACAGGGCCCCGAGGGTCAGGTAGAGGAGGTGGGGATTGGGCAGGCCACTTCTGTCGGGTTCTCAGCAGAGCGACTCAGTCATCCAGTCCTGTCTGTCCCCGTCGAGTGTCGAGGCTTGTTGAGAGGCATCTGAAACCTCTCAAGAGGATGGGATGTGGGAGAGGAAGGGGTATGGACGGGCGTTCCAGGACCTGGAGAAAGAACAAACACAGCTGGCAGGAAAGACAGCCCTGACGGTGTGTGGCCGAGTGGTGACAGGAGAGAGCGACCTGGGGACAGATTTTAGAGGCGTGGGGACCAGGGGGTGCATTCTGTTCCGGTATCATCTTTCACTGGGAGGCAGGGGATAAAGTTCTCATGGTGGGTGCCAGCGACTTGGAGAATCGTCTCATCCCGCTGAATCGTTCACTTGTAAACATCGCTTCCATTGTCCCTGTCCATGCCCAGGCGTTGAGGTCTCTTTGTGCTGGCTGTTTCTGTCAGGGCTGAGCGGAGGGATAGTGTTTCGGGGAGTTCTCCACGTTGTACCACGGCTGAGACCCCAGTCCAGTTTAAGCCGGTGGTCCTCCACCTCCTGGAGCTTCTGGTGTGCAGGTCACCGCCGTCTGGCCGTGTTCAGCAACAAGGCCCTTAGAACGCAGCGCAGGCATTCTGATGGGCGCCTTTGGGAAGCTGGGTGGTCTCGCGGGTCCTTGCGCTGGCTCCTGCTCCGCCTTGTCTGCTCTCTTGATGTTGTGGTTGGCACCGCCCCACAACGGACCCTCCAGCAGGTTTTCAGAGGCAGTCATTTGCATGGGAGGAGACTGCTCATCTCCTGCAGGGCAGTTGGAGATTCGAACTGTGTGCCTTTGGACTGACAGTGCAATTTGCTACCTCTAAGCCAGAATGATTGGGGCTTGGAGGAAAATTCCACCAAAAATTGACATGACCCAGCGTGAAGAATTCTGCTATGTAGGAACCTAGCTTTGAGCTACAGATAAAGATGAGGTTCATGATTGGCTCAATGTAGAGGCTCACTGAAGCATCAGGGTAAGTCTCACAAACTTCCGAGCCTGAGTTTCCTCTTCTGGAGCAAGGGATGCTAATGCCTGTGCCACTGATTCCTTCAAGCCTTGAATTGCATGGATGCCAGCGGAGCTGTGAAATCAATACCTGCACATTTCACAGCATTAACTATGATTCAGATATTGAATCGTGACAGTGGGGAACCAGCACTGCAGGAATTGCATTAGCAGACAGTGCAGCGCATTCATTGGGCCAGAGATCCCTGCATGAGGCAGTGAGATCGCTAGGAGGCCATGACATGGCAGCCTCGATGGTGGCAGTGACACAGACAGCAGCAGAGGTGGCAGCGGCCCAGAGACGTGGTCCACGACAGGGCTGAGCTGAAGTGTGCCATTCTGCAGAGCTGGAACCAAGGGCTCAGCCTGGGCTTACTGTTGGAGTAAGAGCCAGGTACACAGTTGACAGAACGAAAAGCACTATTTCTTTTATGGGAGCTCTGGTAGCCCAGTGGGTAGGGAAACTGTACTACCAACCCAAAGGCTTATAGATCAAATCCACCAGCTGCCCCATAGGATAAAGATGGGCAGTCTCCTCCAGTGCTATTTATAGCCCCCCCTGGAAACCCATTGGAGGGTCAGCTATGAGGCAGTCCTGCCTTCACGACACATTGGCAACATATAACAAAAGAGCTTTATAACAGCACCACCCCAGGTGCAGGGCAGGACCCAGCGCCAGGAGGCCCCCGGTCAGAGACACCTGCCTGGGAGCACGCCTGAGTGGAGGCTGTCCTCACTGAAGGGTCACATCCTGAGTGTTTCTGACATGAATGTCACCTGTTACTTCCTTCAGAGACTGTGGTGGTGGTGTCATGTGCCGTCAAGTTGGAATTGCCCCATCCCTGATCCTCCAGCAGGTTTGCCAAGGCTGTGAATCCCACAGGAGGGGATTTTTCTCCCATGGAGCAGCTGCTGGTGGATTCGAATTGCTTATCTTGGAGTTGACAGTGAAACTCCTTAGCACTAAGCCACCAGAGCTCCCGCATAGATCTTATAATCAGGGGGCAGGGGGGGAGGAGATAATGAAGTATTTATGGTGGTTTCCCTGGACATTGAAAGCTGGTTTGATTTACATTATATAGAGACTCTTAATCCCTTTGCTAATGACTGACACATAAAGCGCTCGCCTTATTCCCATAATCTTCCTCTACCTCTCCCGAAGGCTTCACATGCTGCAGCTGACGATTAGTTCTTCTGATGGTTCCGTTCTCCCTCAGTGCTTGTGCTGAATTTCTGCGAACCTCATTCTCCTGGCCCTCTCAAAGCCCCTTTAGTGGATAAGTCAGAGATTATAGTAATAGTTCAATTTCTTAAATGACTTCTCACGGTTATAATGCAGATCAGAGTCTTGTATAGGCCTCTTTGTCCTCTGGACATTGTCAGAAAGACAGAGAGAGAGAGAGGGAGGGAGGGAGACGCGCATACACACAGAGACAGACAGACAGACACACACACACAGAATGAGTGTGTGTGTGTGTGTGTGTGTGTGTGTGTGTGTGTGTGTGTGTGTGTACCAGAAGAGAGAACACTCTTCTGAGTGAATTACTTGGTTTTTAGTCAATCATTCATATACCTTTCATTTCATAGCATGAACTACAGTTGATTAATGCCATTTATTGCAACCTGACTGAATTCTCAAGGGCACACCCAGGACCAGTAAATCTCCTCCTTCCTAGTTGTCTTTTGCCCTGTACACCCACTTTCCTTGTGGCATGTAGCACCCCTTAGTCTTAGGGTTTGTAGAAGGCATGGAGGAAAGCGTTAGGGTCCTCCCTGCAGCTCCCATCACCTCACCCCTTTCCTCCCCAGTGGCCAGCGTGACTGCTCACTGCTCTTCCTGTGTCTCTCTGCCCTGCCTGATACCTAAGTCCTCAAATGTGCCGTGTGCACCTCCTAGTGCCAGGTCTGATTCATCCCTTGCTACCCTGTTTATTTTGGCAGCATGACCCACAGCTATTCTCTCCACTGAGCATTAGACCCAGTTTTGAAATATCGGTTTAGAGTTCAGTGGGCCTGACTTGCTGCTCACATAAAAGTATTACATGGGGGAAAAAAGTATTGCATGAGAAAGTGGGACTTGAATTTGGAGCCTTTCACAGCATTTACACTGTATTAGTATCTGAAGACAAAAGACGACATACTATGTGCTGCTAATTGTTCAAGTGATTTTTTTTAAAAAAAAAAAAAACACAGCTTGTAAGAACCCTGGTTGTTCTACTATCCACTTAGCTAATCTGCAAGGCTCAAAACGGGAATATTTAAATGACCATCTTCCCCCCACCCCGCCATTTATCACATTAGAAAACATCTTGTCAGTAAGCAAGTACTTGCGATTTCCTGTTCAGTCCTTTTAACAACGTTGGAGAATTAAAAAAAAAAAAAAAAGAGCACAAAGCCTGCTGTTTGCCCCGAAGAATTTTATGTGCTGGTTACATTCTAGTTATGTGTCATTTATGGTTATTCTCTGGAGGGGGAAAAATAAGCCTAATGCATAATAACTTTTATTGATGTTTGATTTTTCGATTTCATCTCAATAAAAACAGACCCTCTGAGCGCTGGCTCTTTTTTTTCTTTCCCTCCTCCTCTTTCAAGTCCTTTTCAGTGGAGAGAGAACCGCAGGATAGCAACAGTCATTACCCAGACGAGCCCTGGAGGATAACGGAGGAGCAGCGGGAGTACTATGTCAACCAGTTCCGGTCCCTGCAGCCTGATCCGAGTTCCTTCATTTCAGGTAAGGACCAGGGATGGCAGAGGCGGGGGTGGCACGCTGGCATTCTCACAGAAGGAAATTGTGAACGTCTGGAGAAAAACAGTTCACACCCAACAAGAGCCACGACCTTCTGTGATTTCAATTTGTTTTCCTTTCAGGGCTGAATTTCTCATCAACTCTAAACCAGGCAGGAAGGGGAAGGTGTGTGTGGGAAGAAATCCCAAGCCAACCAAACCCCCCAGACTGGCAGTGACACTTGCATTTGGGAAATGATGGCTTACTTTCAAAAGGATTACAGAGAGAATTTGGGGAAATGTGGTCCTGATCCTTACCCTTTTAAAGTGGAGCAGTTCTTGCAGTGGTTGCTTGCTGATTGTATTAGTGCGGAGCAAGGCCATGCTGGAGACTTGAAAGGCATTACTGTCCCAAGTGTTCTTATTTTATGCAGGTGGCCATTGACTTAGGACATATTGAAGTTAAGCTTGTCTGGGCGGCTTTTGTGTCTTTTATCATTAGTCATATGCTGTAGTGTGTCATTTGTGGATGTTATTCTCAGTTGTTCGCTCGCATATGTGCAGTTTGATGATTTAGTGTTCAAAACGCTGCTGGATTTAGGAGGATACTGATAATAAAATGCAATAGTAATGGTGGGGAAAAAAAGAAGAGCATTGTGCTTATGTGAGAAGAACTTATGGCTCAGTCATTGGAACGGGACCCTTTTGCCCATCAGAAAAGCAGAGACTACCTCGTGGGTTCAAAGTCCTGTTCATTTTCTTTGGCTCAAGTCTTTATTCTCTGGGATGTTCCCCCCCCCCGAAAGATAAACTGTAGGGGAAAATTTGGCTAATATTTTTACATCCATATATCAGTTTTTCTGGGTTGTCTTCAGAAATATATATTCCTGTTGCATTCTTTCCTCTGAGAAATTCAAATAGGAAGGATCTGCTTTAATTGCTTGTGCCAGTGTTTTACTGGGCCAGTGGCTGAACAGTGAGATGGAACTGTCTGGAAGAAAAATTCATAACACATTCCCCCCCCCATTTCAATCTGGAAGAGTAAAAAAGAAAAATATGTTATTGATGATGGCAACCTGACATATTGGAAATGTGGAACAGGATGAATTTTCTCTCATGAAAGAAAAGATATGGTTGAAGGATGCTAGTACACATACAGGTGTCATTAGTGGTCAGTGGTCATGGTGATACTAAAGGCAGAATCCTGATGAGAACAACAACAACAGCAAACATCAACGCTGACAATGTGATGGACACAGAGAGGCAGAACCCCCGCTTACATGTATTTATAACTTTCTGCCTGTGCCCTGGATGAGGTGGAATGACTAGGGTAATGGGAGTAGGTGTGTCCGAGACAATGAGGTTGGCTCAAGATAGAGCAGGATTCAGAGCTGTTGTACATGGGGTCACTATGAGTCACAAGCGACTTGATGACACCTAACAACAACAACAAAAGCCCTACCCAGCTGCTCACGAGAGTCTTCTCACAGCTTAAGCAGACCCAGAGCTCAGGACAAATAGGTACTTGGTAGGAATGTTTTTTTAGTTCATTTCAGATCTTGTTTTATGGAATTGTAAGTGTGGATAGAAGTAGGACTATCACACAGCTCTGAAGCTTTGTTTGATCCCGCTTTCTAACCCTGAATGGTTTTGAAGAAGCAATAACCAGACCGTGACATTTGAAAATACTTCAGGTTGCGTCTCTAAAGATAAAGCTGCTTTTGGGAACCCAAGCACAGTTCTTAGGCACGCAGCTAAAGCCACAGACGTCAGTCAATTCTGTGATAGCATCAAGGCGTCATCATTCAGATTCCTCTGACAGGCTCTTTGTAAAGCTTAGTTTGATCAAGATCAGGAGAGGTTTATATTGTCTAAAGCACAGTGGACATGAATGAAACACAACATATAAGAATAATTGCATGGGAGGGGGGAAAGGGGTCCATATATTGTGATTAGCCACATTCCACTGCTGTCAGGTTGGCTGTAACTCATAGCACACATCTAGCGTATTTATGAGCCCATAAATCTTGCGAAGAGATTGCCCATCTATTTTTTTAAAAAAAATATTTATTAAAAGATATATTTTCACTTATGTGTGTGTATGTGTATATGTGTGTGTGTGTGTATATATATATATATACACACACATATATATACATATATATATACATATATATATATACTTCTGTAAAGCATGTGATTGCTGTCAGTAAATTCACAATGAATAAATAAGGCTGGCTTGGTGAGGGGGAGCTGCACTGGCAGCCTGAAGGCTGACAGTTTGAATCTTCCTGCTGCTTTTTGGCAGAAAGATCGACCATCTCCTCCCATGTGAGTTACAGCCTCTGAAAGCCTGCTGGACAGTCAGCCATGGGTCAGTTCGACCCAGCAACACCACTCCCACTCCCTTGTCACTCTGTCATAGTGTGGTGGCTTGCACATTGCTGTGATGCCAGAAGCTATGTCCTTGCTTTTTCATATACCACTAGGGAGACCCTCAGCGAATAGTCTTGAGTGAGGACCAGGAAGAAAGACCTGGTGACCCACATCTGAAAATGAGCCTGTTAAAACCCTGTGAGTCCTAACAGGCTATTGTTCAGTGCGGTGCTGGAAGCCAGACCCCTAGGCTGGAAGGAATACAGGTAGCTACAATTTTGAAAGATGGTGCCAGAGATGACAACATTTGGTTCTATTGTATCATGAGCGGAGGCAACTTGATGGCAACTGGCAGTACCAATGAATGACAGGAACAAGGGCTTCCTGAATTAATGAAGAGACTGCAAATCTTTCCCACAAAAAACTTTTCCGAAGTCACTGAACTAGACATCAGTCTATTTCATTTCTGTGTCTTGGGGTTAATGACACCAATTTTATTATCACTGAGCTCTTTTCTCCCGTGACCTTGTGGTGTCTGTTCGCCTGTCCATGTTAAGTACCACACAGATTTCTACTTTCATAATTTCGAAATTAGGGGTTTGAACTTTCAGTAGAAAGTGACCAGTTCTTTGTGAGGATAAAGACGTGAATCTGTATAATTTACATGTATCATAATGAGTGTTACAGGTCAGGGGTTCTCGTGCCCAGCTCTGATTCATAGATCCCTTTGAAAGCTCTTTGTATTTTGCTCTTGTAACGTGATTCATAATGGGCTTCGATGGTGGCGCATCCCATTGGTGACTGTGTTCAGGTTTGCTTCGTAAAGAACTGATGATTTATTGCCGTGCAAATGTCAAAATACTGCACTGGATAAGTAAGTAATGGCTTATTTCGAATAATGCTTCTTGACAGGTTCTGTGGCCAAGAACTTCTTCACAAAATCAAAGCTTTCCATTCCGGAACTCTCCTATATATGGTAAGTAGGGTTAATGCCGCCTAACCCCCTGTAGCCTTTTGCTTCTGCCTTGGTTGGTTGTGGAAAAGTTTATTTCTTTTGAATGTTTTTAACAGACTGAGAGCACAATCTGAACTCTGATTTGTGTTACTGTGACAATTAGATCAATTATTATCTGCAAAGTACAAAGAAGAGTGGCTGGCACAGCTGAGCCTGTTAAGTGCGTGCTCTTTATTTTCAAAGAAACGTCCCAGTGATGAGCCCCATTGAAATCTCCTTTCCATTTAAGCAATTAGGGCCTCCTTAGAATATTACTTTTCTTGTCCAGTTTATTTTCAGAACTTTCCTCCTCCTTGATGGGATGCAAGTAAGCAGAGGACCTCGAGAAACCCATTCTTTTGACTGTTTTATGAGACCTGTGTCTTTGGTGTGGGCCTGGATATAGGTTTGCAGCCGTGGCCTCCTGGCATCATGCCACTGCGCCTGCTGCAGCTGGGACCCCAGAAGTGCTGACCGGCATGCACAGATGGCTCCATTTGCATTTATTACAGTGCCCCTCAGCCTCTGCAAGCCCCCATCTGTGTGGGGGGCTAGCTCTCCCCCAGGCTGGGCAGGAGACCACCCTGCAATACACGCATAATGAAAACACCAGAAAGTGCACTTAAAGTTTCCTTTCAAGAGGAGTGTGCAGAAATTCAGAGAGGTTTTAAAAGCAGGTCCTATCTTGTGCATCTTATTGGAAAGCAATTCCGATAATGCTAGTGCACACCAGGTGACAGCAGGGTCTTGGATGAAATACTCTGGCGGCTGCTGCTTTTTGAAAACCAGCATTATATTAGATTTTAAAGCTGGGAGAAAACAATCAGATTACCATTTTGAAAATACAGTCTGTTCTGGCAGATTTCCCAGTCTTAACATTATTGGCAAGAGACTTCCTATCTCTTGGTAGAGATGCAGCCCAGTAAGGTCAGCAGTATTCTCTCCATTCGCACTTGGCTTCTCACACTCAAGAACAGCTATTTTTTTTTAAAAAAAACCCACAAACAAAACAGGCTTCAAAAAGACAGGAGGGAAACAAACCTCAAACCCAGAGCTCTGAAGTCAATTCCAGTTTGTAGAGACGCTGTAGAACACAGGGCAGCCATGGCTGTGAATGTGATGGCAGCAGACCGCCATGTCCCACTATGGACAGTGTGGGAAACAACCAAGTGCTTAAGCAGTGTGCTACCAGGGCTCGTACTCCAGGATGATGGGTTTTGGGTGCTGTGGAGTCAGCCCTACATGTGACAGAATGAAACCCGCCCTATCCTGCACCATCCTCACCATCTCGGTCATTCTCAAGGTCATTGTCACAGCCACTGTGTCAGTCCTCTCTTTGTCTGACCCTCTACTTTTTGAAGCACGATGTCCTTCTCTAGGGATGGCCCTTAGCTGATAACATGCCCCAAAGTTGTGAGACCATCTTTGTCTACAAAGAGCACGGGGGCTTGCACTGAGAGAGCTGTGCTTATTCTTTTTGTAATACCTAGTATCTTCATCCATCTTCCCTATCCATTGTCCGAATTTCACAGGCATATGAAGCAACTGAAGATATCATGGCTAGTGGCAGTCACATCTTAATCCTTAATCCTTTCCCCACCCCAGTTCCCCTAATTAACACATTCTGCTATTTCTGAATTCTTATTTAAGCTCCTTTTTTATCACAAACTTATCTATTAAATTTTTAAAGACTAGTTTGTTTACAAATTTCAAAGACATTGCTTTTTTAATTTCCATTCATTTATTGATGCATTAAGCTCCTTTTAAACAAATTTTCATTGTTTATTTTTAAAATGTTTTTTAATTGATATTTTCATGTGAGCATAATGGAATGTCCTAGGATTCCCATTCTTCTTAATGTTAGCCATAATTTGTTATGATGCACATAGTCAAATGCCTTTGCATAGTCAATGAAACACAGATAGACATCTTTCTGGTATTCTTTCCCACCAGCCAGGATCCATCTGACATCAGCCATGATCTCCCTTGTGCCACAACTTCTTCCGAATCTAGATTGAATTTCTGGCAGTTCTCTGTTGATGTACTCTTCCAACCATTTTGAAATAATTTTCAGCAAGATTTTACTTGTGTGTGATATTAATGATATTGTTCAATAATTTAAGCATTCTGTTGGAACCCCTTTTTTGGGGGGGAATGGAAACAGATATGGCTGTCTTCCAGTCAGTTGGCTGTTTTCTACATTTCTTGACATAGACTAGTGCACACGTTGAGGGCTGCATCTGTTTGCAGGAGCTCAACAGTTGGAATTGCTTTCAGTCCTGGAGCCTTGTCTTATGCCAAGGCTTTCAGTGCTCTGTGACATTCTTTCTTCATTACCTTTGACTCTTGATCATGAGCTCCCTCCTGAAATGGTTCCATGTCAACCAGTTCTCTTTTGTGAGTTTGACGCATGACTTTTCCCCTTCAGTTCTTTCAGCTTGAGAAGTGCTTTCCTCTTTTTGGTTTCTAACCCAAGTCTTTGCACATTTCATGATAATCTCTTCCTTGATCTTCTGGAGCTATCATCAAAAGCTTCTCTTTAGCACTCTTCTTTCCCAATTTTATTTTCTTTAGCTTTAGCTTTTCTGTGTTCAATAGCATGTTTCAGAGTCTCTTCTGATATCGCTTTGGTCTTCTCCTTCTTCCTGGTCTTTATAATGACCTTTTGCTTTTTGTATTTATAATGTCCTTCAATGCCATCCCCCAACTTGTCTTATCCCCAGACATTAGTGTTCAGGGCATCAAATCTGTTCTTGAGATGGTGTCTAAATTCAAGTGGGATCCACTCAAGGTTGTATCTGGCTGTTGTAAATGGATTGTAAGGTTGTGTTTTTTTTTTTCAGCTTCAGTTTAAACTTGCATGCAAGGAATTGATAGTCTGGGGCATAGTTGTCCTTTGGCCTTGTTCTGACTGTTGAGCTTTTCTGTGCTCTTGTTGTTGTTGTTGTTATGTGCTGTCGAGTCGTTTGCGACTCATAGCAACCCTATGTGCAACAGCCCTAAACCCCGCTCTATCCTGTGCCAATCGCATTGCCTCTGACACACCCATCCCGAGTGCCCCAGTCACTGAATCGATCCACCTCATAGAGGGTCTTTCCCTCCTGCACTGTCCCTCCACCCTACCCAGCATGATGTCCCTCTCCAAAGACCTGTCTCTCCTTACAACATGTCCAAAGTATGTCAGACGAAGCCCCAGAATCCTTGCCTCCAAGGAGCAGCCTGGTTTAATCCTCTCTAGGATGAATCTGTTTGTTTTCTTGGCAGTCCATGGTACATTCAGTACCCTTCTCCAGCACCACAGCTCAAAAGCATCCACTCTCCTTCTGTCCTCCCTAGTCATTGTCCAACTCTCTGATGCATAACAAGTGATTGCAAAGACCATGGCCTGTATCAGGCGCACCTTAGTCTCCAGAGAGACACTGTTGCTCTTGAGTACTTTAGAGAGGTCCCTAACAGCAGACTTTCCCATCGCAACACGGTTTTTTATTTCCTGGCTGCTGGTGCCAAGAGTGTTGACTGTGGAGCCGAGCAAACTGAAGCTGTGTACAATCTCAATCTCTTCACCATCCATCCTGATGCTACCAATTGGTCCAGTGGTGAGAATTTTTGTCTTCTTGACATTGAGCCTCAGTCCATATGTGCTCTTGTTACACAGATGGAATTTATTCCATTCCTGTATTTTTCATCAGATGGGGTCCATGTGTATAGTTGCTGTTCAAAATGGTATGTGCAACAGATAAAGACTTGATAGTGTAAAATGTTGTTACATGATATCTGGCTTTATTTCTTTAATTAAGACTATGCTTTCCAGCTACCAGTTTTTCTTTGTTTTCAACTTTTGCATTCGAATCACCACTTACTATCATCTTGATTGCGTGTTTGTTTACCTCAAGAGTGCAGAAGTTGGTAGACATGCTCGTCCTCACCTTCCCATGTATTCAGTTGGTGCACGCATTTGAGTAATAGTTCAATTATGTGTATATATATTATCCTATCACGGACAGCAGTCTAGGGAACTCTGGTGGCCTAGTGGTAAGGAGCTGTGCTGCAAGCCTGAAGGCACACAGTTTTAATCCATCTACCAGCTACAACGCAGGAGAAAGATGAGCAGTCAACTCCTGTGTGATTTACTGCCTCTCAAAACCCACTGAAGCATCAGCTGTGGATTGGTTCTGACTCGATGGCACACAACAACAACAGCAACAGCAGCCATTGTGTACTCCAGGATAGACTTTGAAATGCTCTTTTGAATGATATATAAGATACTAATCCCTCTTCAATTTGCCATTTCCAGCAAAGTAGATCATATGATTATTCTAGGCAGAGAGGCCAATACCAGTCCATTTCACCACACTAATGTCTAAGATATTGCTCTTTACGCATTCCGCTTAATTTTTAACCATTTCCAGTTTTCCTGGGTGCATACTTCATACAGTCCATGTTCTGATTATTAGTGGATGTCTGCAGCTGTTTCTGCTCATGTGGACTCTGGCCGTTTAGCAGTTGACAGTCCTTTATGGGATGCAAGTTTTACTCTGTCTGTGTCATGAACATAGACGCTACTTTGTGGAGGTGGCTGTTGACCAGTCATATCGTCAGTGCCTTCCTACCTGAGGGGCTCCTCTTCCAGCCCCATATTGGACAATTTTCTGGTGTTTTTTATAGAGTTTTCGGGTGCTCGCTATTTTCAGAAACGGATCACCAGTCCTGCTTCCTCATCTTTCTTCATAAGCTCTGCCAACGACTTTCCACCACAGATGACCATGATCGTATTTGAAATAACAGTGGCCTCGCTTCTGGCATCACATCCACATGCGAGAGACCACAGTATGCAAGTCACCACGGCAAACTGACAGGCCAGTGGCGGATTTCAAAGTGCATGTCTTATAAAGGTTGCCATTTCCAGACTCGCTACCTTCGAGTTGATGGTAGTCACAGTCAAACTGTCCCGGAGGATCTCCAGAGCGAAACATCCTCCTGGAAGCCAGCGGCCTTATTTTCCTCTTGTGGAGCACCCCGTGGGTTTGAACTGCCAGTCTTTCGATTAGCAAGCGAAAGCTTTGGAGCACAGCACCAGGGGAGCTCCTGGACTCAGGGCTAGTGTATTCTGTATGTTTGATGTGGAAATGATGGGTGGTCTGCAGAACACTAAGGAACTTTGATCATTTTTCTTTTACCCAAGAACACCATTCTCATATAATTAGGTCTGTGTTTGACCTCTGAATGTGTCCTAATCGGTGTATTCTTGTCTGTGCACGTCACCGAGGATGGTTGCACGTCAGGAGTCTTAGTTACTTTGGCAAATCATTTTCTTTTGTGCCGAGTAAAATCGAGCTCTGCCTTTCAGGGAGGAACAATGAGATAAGGCTTTGCACGAGGCCTCCTTTGTTCCTTTCTGTCTTATCCGGTTCCAGCCTTCCCTAGTTGCTTGCTTTATCGTAAAACATCATTCAGGGAATATTTATTGAGCCGACTTGTGTGTTCCCAGGAGATACTTCTCCAGCAAAGAATAATTTGCTACAAGGATTACATGACTTGACAGAAATCCAAGTGTTTTTTTCTTAAAGTTGAAAAGAGAAGATCTGGAGTGAGAGAACGTGGGCTTTAGACAAAGGGCGCCAGGACAGCCCCCTCCTCGTCACAGGCTGTGGAGAACTGGGGGCGCAGGCGTGCACGGCCAGGCTTTGCACATCATTCTTCTTGTGCAGTTTTTTCCCTTTTAGTTGTGGCAAATAGATATGCCAGTTGACATTTGCCACTTCATCATCGTCGCTGCTCTGAGGTACCCTTGAGTCTGCTCTGACTCCCAGTTGAATGAAGCCCTGCCCCTTCCGTCCTCACGGCCTCTGCTGTGCCTTGTAAGCCCATTGCAGTTGCTGTGTCAGTCTGTCTTGTTGGCGGCCATCTTCTCTCTTGCTGACCCTCTGTGCTTCCAGCCATGACGTCTTTTGCTCCTGATAACATACTCAAAGCACGTGAGGCAAAGTGGTAGCAGCCTGATTTCGAAGGTTCACAGTCCCTGGGACAGTCTTCATCCTTCACCAGCACCACAGTGCGAAGGCTTCAGTTCTCCTTTGGTCGTCCTTAGTCATTGTCTAACTTTCACATGCATATGAAGCAACCGAGAATATCATAGCTTGAGTCTCGTGCTCCCTAGTCGTTAGTGACGTTTGGTTTCAGAAGCTCTGTCTGACATACTTTGGACATGTTGCAAGGGGAGACTGGTCCTTGGAGAGGGACATCATGCTGGGGAGGGTGGAGGGACAACGCAGGAGGGGAAGGCCCTCAATGAGATTGATTGACTCAGTGAGTGAGATAATGGAGGTAGGTGTGTCAGAGACGATGAAGTAAGCTCAGGATAGAGCAGAGTTCAGAGCTGTTGTGCATAGGGTCCTTATGAGTGGCAGGCGACTCAACAGCCACATAACAACAACAACAACAAGCACTTTCAGATCTTTTGCACCACATTCCTTGGTGCTGTGCTCCATTTTCTTTGCTGCTTCCATGGACACAATGATTAAGTGGAACAGAAAGGTTGGCAGTTTGAACTCACCCAGTGGCTTGGGAGAGAGATCTGGCCACGTGTTGGCATAAAGATCCCCAAATCCCACTTGCTTTGAGTGGGCTCAGACTCCTAGTGACCCCGTGGGACAGAGAGGAGCTTCTCCAGAAGGTGTTCACAGCTTATGCGTTGATGGGAGCAGACTGCCTCATCTCTCCTATACAGTGGCTCGTGGGTTTGAACCCTTGGCCTTTTGGACAGCAGTCCAAGGTTTAACCCACTGTACCTCCAGGACACCTTGCATAAAGAGCACGGCCTAGAATACCATCCAGGGCAGTTCTCGCCCCCCACCCCCGGTGTTGCTGTGAGTCAGAACAGATGAGGTGGCATGTGATAAGAGAGCATGATCATGGCGCCCTGGAGATGCCTTAGTGAAGTGTTTGGCCAACAGTGGAAAGGGTGGGCCTGCCTGGCCATTCCATGGGTCATAGAGCTGGTGGTCTGGCACCACAACCAGCCTTTATGGTCCAGGAAGCCCGCAAAGCAGGTTCTGCTCTGTCATGCAGGATTGGAGTCAACTCTGGGACACCTGATGACAATGGGATGGTCAGCCATCATGCATTACTCCTTCCAGGCCCTTCTGCCATGCCACCCTTAAGAGAAACTCAGTATCCCTTTAGGAGCAAGTCCCATGTTCACTTCTTGTGTGTTCAGTGTTATGAAACCGACCCATCAGACCTTTCTGGATAATTCCCACTTTTCTCCACACATTCCAATTACTAGGCAGCCTTTGTCTTCCTTCCTGTGGCCTCTTAGATTCCAGATGACTTTGGCCAGGAGGGTCTGAGGGCCTTTTGAGCCAGAGTGTCACGAGAAAGCCTGGGAGTTGCATGTACTCTCCCCTTTCCTTGTCAGCCCTGTGGCAGGCCTCACGTCATGCCTTGTTTCTAGGGAGCTCAGCGACGCTGATTGCGATGGTGCCCTGACTCTAGCCGAGTTCTGCGCAGCCTTTCATCTCATCGTGGCCCGCAAGAACGGCTACCCACTGCCCGAGGGCCTGCCACCCACCCTGCAGCCCGAGTACCTGCAAGCAGGTAAGGCCTTGTCCACATCATTTATCTCTGGTTCCTTCAGTGACACCCACAGGGCATCCTGGGTGTCCAGAGTTACTCTCCTGAGCTTGGGCAGACATGCACATCTTCTAAGATGAGTACTAGCTATGGTCCAGGCAAGTCCGAGCCATCACTTACCCCTGTGCCAGCATCCACAGATGAATTCAAACCAAAAAGAATTTTCTCTGTCCTGAAAATTATGGAATGAGCAAGGACTGAACTTGCAGCGCCAAGTGCTGAATCAGCACTCTCGGCCCATCCCGGGGTCCCTGTGTACCCACAGGGGAGAGGGATGGAATAGAAGAGCAGTAAGGAATTGTGGTTGCAGCCCAAAGGCAAGTGGTTCAAATCCACAAACTGCTCCAAGGTGACCACAAGGTGGTCAGTCTCCTGCTGTGTAATTAACAGCTTCTGAAAACCCACCGGAGTCGGTTCCAACTCCCTGACACATAAGTTAGCAGTACAACGCTTTAAAACCACTGCACCACCCGGGGTCCTTTGCAGTGCCCTTTAAGTGCATTTAATACTTTCCCCTTTTCCTCTTTGGAGCCCTGGGTCAGGTCACGTCCTGTGCTCTGCACTTTGGGATCTTTAAAGCGCACCGCATGGTTTGTTCATTCCAAAGGTAACACGGCCACGGTGCCCCAGCCAGGTGTGGCCTCCATGGACTGTTTCAGGAAGGCACTGATGCCATTCAGTGTCTGGACAGACCTGACGTAGTCACGCACACGTAGTCCCTGCAGTCGGGCTTGTGCTAAAGAAGAGGTCCCACCAGGTGGCGCCCGAGCAGCTCCTACCGTGTGTTTGGCGCCTCTGCAAGCTCCTGCTCTGTGGTTCAAAACCAACTCAAAACCCATTAACTGCCTTTCAGTTAAACACAACTTGCACATCATTCTTTGGGCTCGTGGGATTAATCATAATTAATAATGATACAGTTCTAACAGAAACCGCCAGAGACCTCATAAAAGTTTGTGGTGCTCAGCGACAGTATATTTTTGGCAAACCCAGAGGCTTTAGTAGTTAATTTTGAAATGTTTTTGTCATCCTAGCCAGGACCTTCTAGTCTTCTCTGTGCTTTTTATACCATTTATAAATTAATATGTATTCTCTCTCTCTCTTCAATTTTTTGGCATCCCATTTACATTAAAAAATTAACTTTTGTACTTACCTTGGTTTTAGCATTATTCAAATTCATCTATATTTGTCCTTTTAAAATAAATTTAATTCAGTCTTTAATAAGATTTGTAGGGAGTCTAAATTGGTTCATGCCATCATGCATGAAAATGATACAAGCTTGTTTTCAAGAAAACGGAAAAGGGAATTGTTGGATCTGGTGCCATTTTATGTTTAATTACAGAAATGACCCCTGAGCCTCAACTGCGCTGAGTTAGCAAGAGCAGCTGGATTGTTGGGAGGTCTTAACCATAAACTTTTGGATAATTTCATGTTTAGGTGACAAGGTGGTATAAATTTTTTTTGCCGTTTAGCCCATTAAAACATATTTATAGCGTACTTACTATGTGAGTGGAAGAAAGCCAGGCAGTCTCCGCCCTTGGAGATTTACAGCTTCAGAAACCTGTGGAGGGTCGGTGGGAGTGGGAGCTGGCTTGATGGCATTGAGTTTGCGTTTTATTATATGAAAGACACTGCCCCCACTCTTCTCTGAGGTCTGACTGTTCTATAAAGTAGGATTCTCTCCTCCCTGGAATTTCCTAACAGTTAGAGGATGCCAAGTCTCAAGCCAATTTCACTGCTGCAGAGTTGATTCCGAGTCAGAGAGACCCTCTAGGACGCAGCAGAACTGCCCATTGGCTTCATTTCTCCCGCAGAGCAGCTGGCGGGTTCAAACTGCCAGCCTCTACGTTGGCAGCCAGATGCGTTAACTCTAAACCACCAGGGCTCCTAGCTAGAAGATTTGTGTTGAATAAACTCACAAGTAGCAAGTGTTCTGAAGGGGAATAGAAGTGCCACAGTGTGTGTGGCTTTGGGGAGGATTTCCTCAACTGTTTTGGGGGAAGTGTGAGGGGTGACAGGAAAGACAGGGAAATGGAGTCCTGGGCGCCCTCTTGGAGATGGTGTGCACACCATTGCGATCAAGCAGGCCACACAGTTGTTGTGTTGTGGTTTTTTTGTTTGTTTGTTCGGTTTTTTTTTTTTATTTCCCAGTGCATAGAGGGAGCTCTGGGGAGCAGTCCATAGGGAGTTGTGCTGCTTACCCAAAGGTGGTACCCCTCTGTTGTTTCACATCCACGGGGCACTCTGTGGGAGAAAGATGGGCAGTCTCCTCCCATGCGATTTACAGCCTCGCAAAAACCCACTGGAGGCCCTGCTCAGAGTCCATCTAGATTTTACAGCAGGGAGTTTAGAGGTTTGTTGTGGGGTTTCTGGGGACGGGGGGAAATGCAGGTAAAATATATGTTTATGCTACATTGTAGTCTAGTTTTTAAGTGCAGATTTTTAAAGATTGTGAATTGGGGAAAAGATGACAAAGCAAATTGCTTTTGCATCAAACCATTCTTTCCCATCTCATTCTTAGACATTCCTTCCAATCCCCACATTATAGTAGCATCTTCATCTTCTTGCTTCCTTCCTGTGTTTCTAGCCACTGATCCCTCTGCTGTATCCCTTTGTCTCTGGGCATATTTGCCCTTTGGACCTTGTTGTTGTTGTTGTTGTTATGTGCCGTGGAGTTAACCAGGACTCATAACAACCCTATGAACAACAGCTCTCATCTCTGCCCTGTCTTGAGTCCATTACATCGTCTCTGACACATGGGCAGCTATGTTAATAAAGCCTCTAGGATTTTTTTTTATCAGCTAATTGGGCTTTGTTAGTGACAGTACCTAACAACAACAACAGCAACAACAGTTGGGCTTTTTTTATTTCTAAAAAAAGCGCTGGTGGCACAGTGGCTAAAGAACTCAGCTGCTGACCGAGGGAGTGGAGGTTCAAACTTTGGACCTTATATGGTGAGTTGTAAGGAATGAATGTTCCCTGATGTCCGTTTTGTATGCCTGTCTAGTGTTTGGCTGGAAGTTGAGCTTTGTTGTTGTTGTTGTTGTTGTGTACTGTCGAGTCAGAACCGACCCAAAGCTGACCCTCCAGCAGATTTTCACAGACAGTTAATGACATGGGACGAGACTGCCCATCCTTCTCCCGCAGAGCAGCTGGCGGTCTTGAACCATGTGCCATTGGGATTGCAGTGCAGCTTCTTGCCCCTAGGCCACCAGAGCTCCCTAGAAATTGAGCCATAGGGATGACTTTTTCAGGTCTGAGGAGTGACTCCGGGCCATCGTTTTGGAGTTTCTCCCACTCTCTATGAAATCAGCAAGACTGGCTATTTTTATGTTTTTACTTTTTTTTAATTTTTATTTTTACTTTATTATTTGTGTGTGAGTGTACCGTCAAATCAGATCTGACTGGTACAGGAGGAAATTGTCCCTCCTTCCCCGGCAGAGCATCTGGTGGATTCAAACCATGCGCCTCTGGGATTGCAGTGCAGCTTCTTGCCTATGTTTTTACTTTTGCCCACATTTTTTCTACCCACTTTACCCAGGACCTTGTAACGTGCTTTAAGAGCAGTCTGTGGTGGTAGTTGGGCACCATCTAGTTCTTCTGGTTCTAGCTCTGTGCCTTTGAGTTCCTTATATTGTAGCCCGTAAGTGTGTCATAGTATTATGACAAAGTCTTAAATCCTGAGAATTCCCAAGATGGGACTCAGAGGCAGGGAATGAGCACATGCTCTTTGGAAAATGGTGTCAGCAGACTTGCTGTGTGTAGGGTTGCCAGAGGCGACTGCTTTGTAAAAAGCAAAGTACCTGCGAAGCACAATAAAGCAAAAGGCAATAAAACAAGATACTTCTGTAGTAAAAACTTAGGCAGTACAGTTCTATGTTAAAACACATGGAGCTTCTATGAATTGGAATGCACTGTATGGCAACTGGACAAAGTTAGATCACTGACTGGTAGACTACAGAGAAATCTCATTTGGGCTGAAGTTACGCTTGGAGTAGGGTTGAGCAGTGGTGTTGTGGGAGGCTTGTAGCTGGGTCTTAAACCAGGAACCAATGAGCCCGCCAGATCCAGGCCGACTTGGCCTCAGAGGAGTTCTGAGGCGAGTCGGCAGATGCACAGGTAAGGTGGCTGCCCTCGGCTGTGTGTGTATCAGTGATGCGTCAGAGGCCAGTTCCTCAGTGCACAGAGCCTGGAGCATGTTCCACCACAGAGAGGGCAGGAAGGGACAGAGGGGGAAAGGAGTGCAAGCCATGTTCAGTATTGGCTCCCCTCCAGTTATATTTTTAAAAAACATTGCATTCAAATTTTGATTCCTCCATGGCCTGGATTTGATTTGTAGCTTCTATTGCATTATCAGCCCCATTCTGTTTTTGCTGCTTGGACTCTCGACAAATTTCCAATCCGTAGAGACGTTCCTTTCCTAATTACTTGGCGACAAGTAATGGAGAGTAAATGAGAAATCGCCTGGGTGTGGAATATTAGTGCCTGGGTGTGGAATTATCAGCAGTCTGCCTTTCAGGGCGTGCTAAGGCACGCTGCTCCTCAGTTCGTAGCTGCGTCATTGTTGTGTGTTGGACACAACTCCTCGTGTGATTCTTGCTCGATTGTTCTAAGCCAGCAAGGATTTGGCTGTTGTTCGTATTCCTGTGAATGAGAGAGAGGAGCCTTTTATGTATGTCGTTCCCTTGGGTGTACACCTGGAAGGCCATGTCCGTTTTTACTCAACGCCAATAGCTAACTGCATATATTCCCTTGCTGGCGCCGTTAGCTGCTCTGGGGGTGGCTCTGGCTCCTGCTGACCCCCTTTTCCAACAGGACAGCCCTGTCCTGTATATGCTCCTGATGCTACTGTGCTCCAAGCCATCGTGGGAGCCACTGAGTCATGCCTTTGCACTGAGGGGCCTTCTGCTTTCTCAAGCAGCGTGGCTTTCTCCAGGGACTGGTCCCTGCGAAGACCTTGCCTAGCATGTGTGAGAGGAGGTGTGGTTGGAAGGAGCATCCTGGCTCTCTTTCTTCCAAGATAGTCGTTCTTCTGGCAGTCAGTATTTTTCGTTATTACCACAATTGAAAGCCCTCTGTTCTTCATTGCCCAGCTTTCATGTGCATATGAGGGATTGCAAACCCCATGGCTTGGGTCAGGGAGCTCTGCTGATCTAGTAGTTAGGGAGATTGAGCTGGTAACTCGAAGGCCACCAGCTCAAATCCACCAGCTGTTCCTTAGGAGATAGAGGGGCACCCTCTTCCTGTGTAATTTACAGCCTATGAAAACCCACTGGAGGGTCATCTATGACTTGGTTTTGACTTGACACCAATGAGAGAGAGAGAGAGATGACTTGGGTCAGATGGACTTTTTAGTGCTGAAACTGTCACCACAGTCCATACCATTTAAAACGATGCTGGTACATAGTGAATATATGGCGCCATTGCAATAGTCAACAGGGGACATGACCTCTATGCTCCAGCATGAAATGCTGGGACAACAGAGACCCATCAGACAGCCTGTTCTTCAGTTTCATCAGGTATGAAGTGGGGGTGATCCAAGAGTTGGGTTGAATATGTAAAATACACAAACTGAACTTAAAACAGCACCTCACCGTAGTTTGTGCTGTAAGGAGTTCACCGTTCTGTGTGTTCTAATATTTAGCAAGCACAGAGAAGCCTATAGGAAGCAGTGGCTACACCCTGACGATGGTATATAGTCTGACATATTCTTTTGGTTTCTTCTTAGCTTTTCCGAAGCCCAAGTGGGATTGTGCGTTGTTTGACTCTTACTCTGAGTCTGTGCCAGCAAACCAACCCCAGGACGTGCATCGGAGCGAGGTAAAAGGTCTCTCTTCAGATGGTAATAAGAATAGACATGGTATGAACTCCCTTACCCTCAGCTCTTTACAAACCCTGAAGAGTCTACCTTTATAACATTTTCTTTTAGATGTGGTAATTACTTGAGGTTTGATGTTCCAAATCTGAACATGAAATGCATCTGTAATTATCTTCTTTTCCCCTGTCACGAGTTGATGTGGTGGAAGAAAGCGATTCCTGGATCATCTAGGAGTCAAATTTGCTGCTGCTGCTGCTGTTATTGTAATATGCCATTGAGTCGACTGTGAACAATAGATCAGAACCTTGCCCATAGGAATAGCCAAACCAAACCAGATGATGCTAGCCGAGTTATTTACTTTTAACCAAGCTTCCATCCCTTCATAAAGGTTTCCAAGTTACATTTTTAGTAGCCGGGTACTCATTTTTTTACAAATCATAAGGACCAAGAAGAGCTATGAGAGGAGGTTTGCGAATGATGTATGAGATTCCCAGAGCATATCCCAAGCCCCGTCTTCCAAAGGCTTTCCAGCTTTTGGACCAAATGAAGAGTGGTTTGGATGCTCTCCAAAAGACACGTGGCGAATCGGCACAGTGTCCGACCATCACCGTGTGACCGTAGCCAACCTCGGCTCCAGTCTCTGACCTCGGCTGTGGGTCAATAGTACGAGTCGTTCTGGTCATTGCTTATAATACTTGATGCCCCCTTCTGGAAAAAAAGACCTGGAAACATTTCATCAATACAGGTTCAGTCACCGACTCCTTTTAGAGCTTTCCAACCCCAGTTCAGATAGTGACATGGCGATGGAAGTCAAAGAGAAGACGCGGGGACATTTCTGTGACTGTGCATGATTATTTACTCTTTCAACTGTAGTTCTCAGGCTTCTGATGTGGTTATTCGGCGCCTTCAAGTCTGTTCGGACTCAAGCAATCTTCTGCACCGCAGATGGAAAACCCTCCCGGTTGAAAAAACCCTGCCCAGTTGAAAAAAAAAACCCTCACCCACTTGCAGCAGCCGCCCTCACAACAGTTGAGCCCATTGTTGTAACCACTATGTCAGCTGTCTCCTGGAGGGGCTTCCTCTTTTTTGCTGACCCTCCACTTTACTAAGCGTGTTGTCCTCCAGGCTTGGCCCCTCTGGACAACATGTTCGGAGTATTTGAGACCAAGTCTCTTGAGCCTTGCTTCTAAGGAGCTTTCTAGTTGCACTTCTTCCAGGACAGATTTGGTGGTTCTTTTGGAAGCTCAGTATTCTTAGCCAACAGTACCTTTCAAATGCATCGTATCTTTAGTCATCTTTATTTTTTGTCCAGCTTTCTCCTACTGAAAGGATCCTGACTTGGATCAGGTGTACCTTGGTCCTCGACAGTGACATCTTTGCTTAGTTTATTTTAAAAAAAAAATAAATGTCTGCTTTTTAGACTGCTGTTTCCATGTGGCCTTTGACTGTGGATCCAAGTAAAGAGAAATCTTTCCCAGCTCTAATCTTTTCTTCATTTGTCCAGATGTTGCTTTTAGTCCAATTGGGAGAACTTTTGTAATCTGTACTCATAGCTTGCTGAAACGGAGGAGGACCAGAAGTGCTGGCTGCAGAAGGGCTGCAGTCTTCGATATGAACTGAAGCTCAACATCAAGAAAACAAAGATTCTCACCACTGGGCCGATTGGCAGTCATGATGGATGATGAAGAGATTGAGATTGTTCACAGCTTCAGTTTGCTTGGCTCCACAGTCAACACTCTTGGCACCAGCAGCCAGGAAATTAAAAGACTTATTGCGATGGAAAAGTCTGCTGTCAGAGACCTCTTCAAAGTACTGAAGAGCAGTTTCAGTCTGGAGACGAAGGTGCGCCTGATCCAGGCCATGGTCTTCACAATTACTTGCATTAGAAAGCTGCACAGTGATTAGGGATGATAGAAGGAGAATTGATGCCTTTGAGCTGTGGTGCTGGAGAAGAGTATTGAACATACCATGGACTACTAAGAGAGCGAACAGGTTCATCGTAGAGAGGATGAAACCAGGCTGCTCCTTAGAGGCAAGGATTCTGAAGCTCCATCTGATATAATTTGGTCATGCTGCAAGGAGGGACCATTCCTTGGAGAGGGATATCATGTTCTGAAGGGTGAAGGGACAGTGCAAGAGAGGAAGACTCTCGATGTGATGGATTGACTCAGTGACTGAGTTAATGGGGTAGGTGTGTCAGAGACAATAAGGTTGGCTCAGGATAGAGCAGGGTTCAGAGCTGTTGTACATAGGGTCATGGGTGACTCAACAGCACATAACAACAACGTACTAGAACCTGATGTCTGTGAACTTAATCAGAAAGAGCTTCAAGTTTTCTTCAACAAGAAGGTGAAGTCATTGATATTTTTGTTAATGAGTCTTTCTCTGGTCCTGATGGCATATTCTTCTTATAGTCCAGTTGCTTGGATTATTTCTCAGAATTCTGATTGAAAAGAGATAAAGATACACATACACCTTTCTTTATCTTAAACCATACAGTATCTTCTCTCTGCCTGTTGACAAGTTTCTCTGGAATTTTCATTTTACTCAGTGATTTCTGTAGTTTATTATGACTCACACAGTTGAACGCCTTTGCATACTCAATAAAACACAGTTAAACATGTTACTGGTATTCTCTGCTTTCAGCCAAGATCTCATGTCAGGGCAATACTGTCCCTCCTTTGACATCCTCTTCTGAGTCTGGCTTGAATTTCTGCCAATTCCCTGTTGATGTACTGCTCTGGCCACTTTTGTGATTGTATTTGTGTATTATATTTTCTCATTTTGCCATATGACTTCTCTTGAGATTGAGCACAAATATGGATCTCTTCCAGTTACTTGACCATGTAGCTTTCTTCAAAATTTCTTGCCATCTCCGGTGCCACATCTGTTTGTGGACATATTGTGTTAGTATTCTGTCATTTCCTGGAGTGTGTTTTTCACTAATGCCTTGGTTTTTACTGCTGTACTTCCTCCTCCAGAATTGCTATGAGTTCCCCCCACCCCAGTCATCTGCTGTCTCCTGAAACATTGAACATCAGCCATTTCTTCTTTACTTTCTATATCCCTTTCACTTTTTCATCGGCTTCCTATGTCATTCAGTATTTTGCCCATACAGTCCTTCAGTTTTGAGAATCAAAAGTGATTGATTTGAGAGTCAAAGCTTCAGTTTCTTTTTGGTGTGTTCCCCCCCGCCCACTGCCATTCTTGCAGCTTGGGAAAATGATCAGTGTGTTCTTCCCTTTTGGTTTTCTAACTCCAGTTCTTTGCACATTTGCTGTCTTCTCTAGATGCTCTTTGAAATGCTCTGTTCAAGCTCTCTTATTTCATCATTCCTTGTTAGCTTCATCACATTGTTGTTGTTTTTATGTGCCGTCCAGTCACTTGCAACTCATAGCGACCCTATGTACAACAGCCCTAACCCCTGCTCTATCCTGTGCCAATCTCACTGTTTCAGATACACCTACCCCCATTACCCCAGTCACTGAATCAGTCCACCTCATCGAGGGTCTTCCTCTCCTTTGCTGTTGCTCCACCCTCCCAAGTCTTTATTCCATGATCATCTAGAATTCTGTTCTAGATATCTCTCCTTTTGATTCTTTTCTTGAGTCTTTGTTCAGAGTAGTCAGTAATGGTGTCCAGTTCTGGTCTCTTGGCATGGAAGGCAGTTGTTCCTGGAGGCAGTTAACTACCCAGTCCCTCTATTCACAGTTCTTCTCTTTCCCCTTTGCTCATGAAGGAGATGGATTGTTTGCCTTGGTTGGCCTTCTAAAGGTTTTTAAGACCACAGGCAATAAGCATCAAACTAGAAGGCAGAACAGAAGCCATACAGTACATTATGAAGCCAATTAAATGAGATGTCCCTTGAAACGGTGACCTTAAAGCTAAAGAACCAAGTCTCATAAGCTTTTTAGTTGTACATAAGCAACCTCAGCAGCCCTTATTTTTTCCTCTTTTTTCATTGTAGTAAAGATATATATCGTACAACTTTTGCCAGTGTAACATTTTAGAGCTATGCAACTTTTTGATAACAATTACAGAAATTAGTTGCACAGTCCTCCTTTTATCAAGTTGATATTTCTGCCATGCTAACTGTCCCCTTTTCCTTTCCCTCCTATCTCTAGTAGCTGTTAATAAGTTTTGTTCTTTATACATTTACCTTTTCATGTAACTGAGGTTGTACAATATTTCCCTTTTGTGATTGGCTTCTTTTACTCCTGTTTATATTTTTTATTGGAACTGTTCTGGTCTATATAGACCCTCTCAGCTGCTGTTTGGGAATAAACTGAAAGAGTGTAATTTCACCCTCATTCGGTAGGGATAGTTTTGCTGGGGATTGTGTTCTTGTTTGATAGTCTTTTCTTCTTTCATCACATTAAATTATTTGGTTGCCTTCTAGTCTTCAATGCTTTTATGGAAAATTAGGCATTTCCTTTTATTGAGGATCCTTTGTATTTGAAGATTTGCTTCTCTCTCACTGTTTGCTTTAAAATGTGAGACCTCATCTGTGATTTAAGGAGCCCATGTGTCACAGTGGTTAAATGTTTGGTTGCTAATCAAAATGCTGTTCATTTGACTCTGCCAGGGCAGAAAGTTGTGGCACACTATTTCTGTAAAGATTCACATCCTTTAAAATGCTTCAGAAATTCTACTCTGCCCTATAGGGTCATAGAATTGACTTGATGGCTAGGGATTTAGTTTTTGGTAACTATGATAGTTTTTAAAGAGTTCTGGTACCTTATTGGTAAGGAATTGCACTGCCAAACCAAAGGCAGGTGGTTCGAATCCACCAGCTGCTCCCGAGGAGAAAGATGGGCCATCACCTCCCATGTGATTCACAGCTTCTGAGAATCTCTTGAGGGTCAACTATGAGTTGATGAAAACTCAATGGCATTTACTTAGCTAAATTAGTTATGTTTCTTCAGGAGCTCTGGTAGCATAGTTGATACATGTAGCACTGCTGACCAAATGGTTGGTGATTAGAATACACCAGCTCTTCTAT